TGAGGCAACCTGTATTATCTATAAACCTTGGTAACCACTGACCACGACTATAATAGATATAATAATATTGTTGTATCTATATCCTATATAATATATCCCATATATATATATCATTCCTTTTACTTTTTGGTTTTTATTAATCTTATCTATTTCGATGTTTTCCGTTGACCGTTATCAATTTATCACTCTTAAAATCTGTTATCTTGGATGCGACATGCGTGAAATATTATCACAAAACAATAGCATGTGCAGCCACAAGTTATAACTTCACCGTTCACGCTTCTATTCATAGATAACAGATAAATAATTTACAAAAATACAAACCTGTTCGGTGGTTGATCCTTACTCTTTTCAGTGTTCAGTCCCTAATTTAGTAATTTTGGATTTCCCTACTTGTCTTTATATAGTACGTATTACGTATCGAGCACCGACTACTGGTGATAAATTCTTAAGATTAAATTTAAACGAGTTTATGTAGTTTTATCCTTGTGCTCACGCAGTCTCGTGATGATGGAATTCTATACTTTGTCGACGTTGTTACTTGTTAATACATTTACAATATAATCTATAGGTGCGTATAATATTTAAAAGGTACATTATATAACTATAGTATTAACGATCCGGTTGTCATTACTCGTTATTCATATTGGCATTTATAAATAAGCAGGTAAACTCTGAACAATAATAATTGTATAATATTAATTTTATCACGTGGTTCCGTCGCTCAGATGGCAGATATCGTTACATTCACTACCTGTTCATGATGTCCATAATCCGTAATATGTATTAACTAAATACCTATTACAATACCTAGCACAAAAATATTTTTATTACCTACACTAATACAATCCCAACGAATTTTGTGAAACGCGTTATCTTGCGTTCGGTTACATCACATTTCATTACTTCGTAGCTCAAAAACAATATTAAACATCGAATGTCAAATTTTGTCTATGGTAGTGTGCCCTCGCCACCGGATCCCCTTAACATGTGACTTAATTACACCACTGTAGAGTGCTGTTTGTTTACATTACACATTTGTATTTTGTACAGATGATGTCCATTTGCACGCAACCTATGATGTCCGGTGCTGCAAATTTAAATTGTGGAACGGTCAACCAAAACACAACGGTTGACGGTAGAGTAGAATATGCTGACAGAGGCTGTTCAACCCAAGAGCCACTGATAGACGCAGATTTATTGAATGCATTGGATGAACCATCATGTTCCACACAACAAGAACCCATGTCCAAGGAATATAACCGAAAAAATAACTTTGCTATTTACGACATGGACTCACCGAGAGGTTATAAGCTCAAGATCAGTAAGACAGGTTTTAAAAAAACTTCCAGTAAAGAGAAAAAAGTGGACTTGCCAACAAAATTCAATGTAAGTTGTTACTACAAAATACAAATTATATCTTAACAGCAACCTGTATTCTACCAATATCGACTTACTATCCAATATCCCATTAAATTGTGGCTAACCTATTATTGATCCTTCCTAACTTTCAATTTTCAACAATTATTTTATGTATTATGTTTATTATTAATATTATACTTTATATTCAATGTAATTAATTAAACTTGTTTGTAGGAGATAAAACAAGACAGCTTAAAATCTCCTATTGCTAAACTTAATGAAATAATGTTGTTAAAAAAACAAGTAGTAGAATACAAGTTGGTTTCTATAGCAGGTCATGTACATAGTCCAGTTTTTAGATTTATTGCTGAAAATGATGAATTATATGGTAAATAATTGATGTAACTATAATAAAAATAAAACATATATTTAACTTTCTTCATGAAAAATAATGGTTTTAGCTTATGGAGAAGGTTTGTCAAAAAAAGAAGCAAAGAAAAATGCAGCTATTGCTTTTTTGGATAAATTAGATAATTATAATGGAAACAACACCATATCATCTACCACTTCAAATATGTCACCTAGCAAAGTTAGCCCTCTAAAGTATAGGTATATGGTTGTACAGAAATAATAAACAACTAAATAAATTGAATGATTTGTGTTAAATTTGTTTTTAGCAAAGAGACCATTTTAGATGAAATATCAAAAGTAAACCCTATTGGTGTGCTGCAAGAGTTGTGCATGGCTCGTCGTTGGGAATTACCAGATTACGAGTTTCCCCGCGATGAACGCAATGATGCACACAATGTTTGGTATTCTGTGGTATGTTCCCTTAGGGACTTTCAAACTGTAGGTAAGTAACTTATACAAACTTACATTTAACATTTTAAAACTTAAAACAATTAGGTATATATTTTAATTATGTTGTATTACTAATATCATAAAACATTTAAAATATGAAATATTATTTATGTATTGGTTTTTCAATCAATATTCATATAATAACTATTTTTAGAAAAATAAATACCTAATAAATAATTTATATAAAATACTTAAGTACATAATCTAAATATTGTTTGATGTCATAATCAAGAAAAAACCAAAGAAATATAACTAAGTGTATTTAATTTGAACAAGTTTTTTTTTTCATATTTGATAAGCTTCTTGCATTATACAATTAAGATTTATTATAAAATATATTTTGAAATCCAAACAACGATACAGTTAAATCAATTTCAAAAAAAAAATTTTAAATACAAAATAGCACACTGTATTTAAAATGTGTTAAGTCCTTACATCAGTATGTTAACAGACATGAAATAGTTAGATTTAAATCCAGTCTCAGTGTTTCTAACCGTTTATCTTAGAACTTTTAATGTATATTTAATATTAATTTAACTATTGAAGTTAAATGTCTTACTATATTCTAAGTTAATAATTCTACAAATAAAACAAAAACTAATCAAATATAAATTCAATTTATCTAAACAGCTTATATGTCTTTATATAAACCCATATCGGTTCTCAAAATTATTTGTTTCATATAACCTTATGTTGCTAAGAAAATTCTATGGAGCCCCAAGAATTAAAAATGTTCATAAAATGTACAAAACTCTAAATGATGCAAAAATTATTTGCTTATTAATTTGTTTCTTCATAATGTAATTATAAACAACATAAACAATTAAAGTAATATAATTTTCTAGGATAAAATCCCACCTGGGGCAAGATAAAAATTGCTTACAATCTAATATTAGTTATAGATTTCTAGTCATATTGATTTAATGTACATGCAGTTAAAAATTCCCAGGGGGCAATGGAGTTTGCAACCAACACATTTAATATTGATCCCATCTACAAAAATATGTGGGTTGTTACTAATAAAATAAACACAATAAACCAAGAATTATTTTATTTTTACTTCATTCATGTATATCCATAGAGTTTCTAAATTATACTGGAGCTCTGTTTCATAACTTCTGATAATATAGACTATAGAAATATTTTTTGCCATCTTATCTTAATAAATTATTATTTAATGATTATAATACTTAAATTGATTTGATTAAGTATCATGAAACAATAATTCTCTCATTTCAAGTGCATGGTCCTCGTACAATATGTTATCTACCACTTGTTTGATGGTTTAGTATGATGTCTTAAAAAATATAAGCATCTACTATCTTCCAATACTGTCTATTCATCATACCAAATTGTATTATACCTGTATATACCTACTTTATCATTTTGCAATTATGATTAAGCTTTTTATAAAAAAATAAAATTAGTCTGACAGTCTATGTTAGCAGGTGTATGGATTATACATTATTTTACCGTGGGTATTTGTATTGAAATATCATTGAAATTAAAGTAGTGTGTGAATGTTTTATAAAAACACTTATGTTATTCGTATTATCTATTATTCAAATATGTACTAAAATTAAAAACGAAACAATTTGTGATGATGAATTAAAACAACCTCTTAAAAAATAGTGAAATACAAGATTCGTAAGGAAATATTTTTGAAACAATGTACGAGGTCTGTTCAAAAAGTACCCGGACAAGTATTATTACGGCTAATCTAGGCATGATAAAGTTTTAAATTATATATAAATATATTTCTCATGTATTAGTGAATATTTTAAACAAAACCCAAGTTTTATTTTATCTCTGTTTAAATTAACAAATGGTTAAATCGAGTCAGTTTGTTTTGTTTGGCGTTTTAGATATGTTCGAACAAAAGGAAAATCATTTAATGATTTGTCAAGACCTTAAAAATCGTTCTATCGATCCTAATTTTATAAAAACATTATAACAGGTGGCGAGACATGGGTTTATGGGTACGATTTAGGTCATCTCAGTGAAGAACAAAAGTTTCCTCTCGGCCCAAAAAAAGCTTGTAAAATGTCAAGACAATGCTGATTGTTTTTTGATATTGAAATTATTGTTCATTATGAATTTGTACTCCATGGACAAACAGTTAATCAAGTATTCTTCAAAGACGTATCAATACGTTTGGGAAAAAAAATTAGTAAGAACCTCCCAGAAAAATAGCGAACAAGAACCTGATTTCTTCACCACGACAATGGGCCAGTCCATTCAGCACTATCGATAGGTGCATTTTTGGCTGATAAAAAAATACCTGTTGTGTACCGCGCCTTCCCTATTATCCTGACCTGGACCCGAGCAATTTTTTTTTTCACAAAACTAAAATTTGCACTCAAAGGACAACAATTTCATGATGTAGAAGAAATTAAAGCGAATACGACAGCAGAATTCAAAGTCTTAACTTCAGAGCATTTTCAAAGGACTTTCGAAAAATGGCAAGAACGCTGGAACCATTGTATTTTAAAGAAGATATCTTTTAATAATATGTAACTTAACTTTTGTATTTATTAAAAATAAAATCCGGGTACTTTATGAACAGACCTCGTACATAATATTAACGATTATACTTAAAAAGATTGCCAAACATTTCACTCAATACTCAAAACAAAAAATATTTTTACGTTTAAAGATACAATTATGATGTGTAATTGAGGTTTAATTTTGCGCAATATCGTAGAACTTGACTGATGTTGGGTACTACAAATAAAGACAATGCAAGCCAAGGTGTTAACAAAAATATCAAGACCAACTAATGTCGACTAATACAGTTCATGTAGAGATGTAGCAGGTGCTGAATTTCAAAAACGTGAGAAAACTGATATAAAATAAATTATACATATTGTATGAGTACCAAATTTTTTCTTGAAAATCTTAATCCACAATATGATTTTCTGGTAAACATATTAAATCACAATTATTGTTACAAATAATATATTATAATAATTATTCATATTTCATAGCAACAAGTTTTGTTTTAAGAGTAGTACAACTGCTTTCTATTCAACCCTAAAACTTCATAAAAATAATTATAATAACATCACATATTCTACATATTATTATAATTATTTATATTTAAAGTAGGGTGGCTCTTCGGCCTAGATTTCGAGGAACGTTAGGCCTGTTTCACATGGATGCTTATCATACTCACAAATGGGCTAAGTTCATACGCTCCATAGCGTTGAGAGTAAAGCCCCATTGTTGAGTGGCATGTATGAATTTAACCAATGTAACTGAAAACTCATACACACTATGATACTTGGCATATGATTTGTGCCCATGTGAAACAGCCCTTACCTGTTTAGGTACTCATGTCCCAGTGTTGTTTTGTACCAGTCTTGGACATTTGCATAGTAATGTCCCAGAATTTCAACAAAAAAAACCCATAGCTTAAATTAGTTGCATTGAATTTTTTACAATGAAATATTTAACAAATTCTACTCTACTGTAGAAAGTCTTATTTGGACTCAATTTACAAATATATTTCTGTTATTTAATTTCAAATAAGAACATAATATCGTATTAGTAAATATGTGATTTGTAAAATTTCTTTAGAATGATGATATTTGATAATATTTTTTAATATTTTAATAATGTATAACATTTTTGTTTTTCTGTTTTGTCATGATGATACTAATAGCAGTAATTAAACTTAAATAATATCATGGTTTCTAAAAGATATCTATTATATCATAGATTTTAGTAATTACTTTTTAATTACTACATAAATAATAAACATACACTTAATTTTAGATGTTGACTATAAAATTGCCATCATTGCATTTGTATTCACTTAGTTATTAACTTATGTAATAAAAATGAAAATGTTTTTGAATAGGTGAAGGAAAAACCAAGCAAGCAGCAAAAAGACAAGCTGCTCATATCATGTATGAAAAAGTAAAAAACGTTCCACAACAGAAGATCTTGAAGGACTATGAATATCCAATACCTAGTAAATTTATGCTTAACACTAAAGAAAGTAATGATTTAGATAGCATAGATAATCTGAAATCCTTGGAAATATTGTTAAACAGATTAAAATCATCTCAAAATCAAAGTTTAAGCAAACTAAGGGTAACACATCAATTTAATTTGCCCATGCTAAATATACATACTTATTTTACTTTGTTTGTATGCAGAATTGCGACTCCATAATTGAAATGAGAAAAAATTCTATTGAATTTTTAGGTGCAATTGGTAAAGAAGAACATTTTAGTATTACATATGTATTGATGACAAGGAAGTCAAGTAAGATGTCAGTTAAAATAATAACTGTCATTTTTTATTCAATTCTCTTTATTTTTTTCAGCTGATGTTGGAATGTTAGTGCAATTAGCTGTCACTCCTCTTTTATTGTTTATCGGTTCTGGCAGATCAACAACAGAAGCTCAAGAAATGGCCGCTTATGTTGCTCTAACATACCTAAAACTTTTGTTAGAGGAGTAGAGTAATAAAAATATAACTCTCATATTGCATATACTTGCCTAATAATGTAATACATTTCGTTGAGCTTAAAAAATAATGTTTAGAATATTAGTATGATGTTAATTGTTAAAAATTTCTACACATGGTCACTTAATTCCTATAACTTAAATGTAAAAGATAAATAATATTTATTTATTGAATCATAAATACAAATATATTTTTTTCGTTTCTAATATTAATTTAAATGCACAAGGGTCATAAATTGATGTAAAATATTTTGTACATCATATTTAAAAAAAAAATATGTTTAGTATTATATTTCCTGAGAAGGCATTTAGTTTTATTTTCCTTCTATTAGTACAAAAATGTAGTTTATTATATATTTAATTTAATTTCATAAACTTATTTTATGTATATTGTATGTGAAATTAAAAATAAATAATAACTCCAGAATATGTTAAATGTGTACACAATTTGCTGTATTTGATTTTACAAAATGTTTTGTTGTAATTTAAAGGATAGGTATAATAGCCTGAATAGTTTTTAATATGATGTAATCTATAAGTACAGTAAAATCCGCTTAATTCATAAAGGTGACAACCATTTAATGGGGACAAGTTTGCATAGTCCCAAACTATGTTTCAGTTAATCTAAACAGTCTGATAAAAAAATTTAAATAACAATTAATTGGACAAATAGGTCACCCACAACAAAACAAAATACATGTGCCTGGTCAAAAAAACAAAGCAATTACTAAGCATTTTTTTTTTGAACCAATGTCTCGTAAGGAATGTTTAAGGTGCTGCGCATTTATTAATTTTCAGTAGCTTAATAATAATAGATATGATATCAAAATTCGTAATCTAAATCTAAAATGTCCAGAAAATCTCAGAAAAAATTACAATAATGGCCAATGGTCATGGCAGAAGACAGAGTTGGCGCATAAGTGTATGATGAATTATTGTATCCAAATAACACGGTGTTTGTAAATTAGTTGTACATAGGGGTAGAGGTGAAATGTTATATTATAGATAAGACTTTATAATCAATATTATTCATAAATATTTATATTTTTTTTTAGAAAAAAAGAAATAACAATAATATAATATTTAGAATACTAAACTGGGCTAAATCATGCTCATAATAAGAAGTAAGCGATATATGCACAGAAAAAAATTAAGTAACTGACAGTTATCTGTGACATGTTAATTATTCGGTATTTAATGCGAGTAACATTTTAATTGGACATAGTTTTCAACCAATTTATATAAACTTCAATGTTCCTAATAATGGCCACATATTATTTGGTATTAAACATGTTAATGTTCAAGGAATTAAATCTAAAAATGGGTTACCAAGAGTTGTAAGATATGTAATGTTGTTTGTGCAACAAACTTTAGTAACGGACAGTCCTTTGAAAATAACTTTTGATGTAGGTTTCTAACCATTAATTTAAATTCTAATATATCAACTAATTTCCAAATTATTTTAGCTAGATTTAACCAGGAATTGAGAAATCTATTAAATGCATTTTGGAATGTTGCTGTTGAAGTGGCCAAATGCAAGCATGTTGTACATTTATAAGTAATGATGAGAGGCAACAAATGCACCTCAGAAATGGGGCACTGGGGCTGCCCTTCTAAAACAGGATCTGAGAAGTATAAAAAGATTAAAAGCATTGCTGCCCCTTTTCTTACTGAAAAACCAAAATAAGTAGTTAATAATATTGTTATAATATTCTCCCTGTTACTGCAGTGCCCCTCACAAATAAAGGTAATATTTTTAGTCTACCTACGGCTATAGGTGAGTTGCGGCCCGACAAGTCATTAACGTGTTGGAGACCGGTGAATTGCAGCCCGGTCATATTTTATCACTAAGTTAATTGCAGACCGGAAAATAAATTTATTTTGTACCGGCAGTATCCGCAGTATGAGTTGGTGGAGGAAAATTCAAAGTTTATTACTCAGAAAAATGTATAACACAAATACAGATAAAAGTTGTTAGGTACTTAAAACTTTTTTTTTGGTCTGCCATTTTTGGATACTGACAACATCATTGATTGTTTCAAGGATAACTTTTTAGCAATACTGCCCGCTATAGATGACCGTGTTGTACAATTTACCGACTATATGTTTTCGAAAACTATATATCCCCGGACGCCACATTTCCCCCAAATATTTGGCCACAGTTTTCTGCTAGCTGTAACCGTACCACTAACGGCTGTGAAAGTTTTTATTCACACCTAAATTCATCTTTCTACTCTAGTCATCCTAACATCTATAATTTTATTTTATTGATGAATTGATGTGTTAGTAGAAATTCAATCAGAGAAGTACATCAAATGTAGAAGCAATGGAATAAAAACGAAGAAAATATGTGAAAAAGAAGCATTTATAAATTATAAGACAACAGATGACAAAGCTAGAACAAAAAGAAATAAAGCAGTTTGATTTCGTTAAAACATTAAGTTTTAAGTTTTTGCAAAACCATAAATCTAAAAAAATTAATTTTACCATAAATGTTGACATTTTAACATAAATAATAATAAAAAATAAAAAAAACAAATTTTAAGAATTTAAGGAGACGAATCAGCCAACCTCCTTGTGGTGTCTTCTGGGTAACGCTGATAGGCTGAAATGAAGTGATAAATAAAATGTGGCCGCAACTCATACGTCTGCTTCATAAACACGAGCCGCAACTCGTTCAGTGAATCACTGTTTATTATGTTTAGTTGGGCATAAAATAGAATATGTTAACAGAACAGTGTTATTTTATTTTGGTTTCTTTTATCATTTTAACTGCATTTGGTTAAACAATCAACAAAATCAATTCGCTAATTCGCTTTACAAAAAAAAAAAAAAAATCATGTATTGTCCTTTATTACCTTTTGTCAGCGCCGCAATTAGCGGGGGTGCTGGGGGTGCATGGCACCCCCAATAGGGCCCTATCATTGTAATTAGGGGGCCCTTTTCAGACATAAAGGATTTTAGTTTTTATACCAGTTAATTATGATACCGATGAAATACTAATAATCAATAATTAAAACGTAATGTCACAGAGTAGTGGTACGTTCCGTTCGCAAGTTAAACACTATAATATGTATTATTTTATATTATTACTAGCCCTCTACGCTAGTTTTATATTATTATATTGTATTATATTTTATGGACTACACTAGTTATAGGTACGCAGTGGCGCAACTAGGGTGGTGCAAAAAGGTTTTTAGCACCTCCAAGTTAAAATGTAGCAACCTTTTTAGAAAGTTATGTTATCATTTTGGCATTTTGCAAATAATTTGCAGATTGGTTTTAAGAATTCACAAATAAATTCCCTGCCAGGAATAAAAAAAATAAGACAGAGAGGGGTCAACTTCACGAAGCCCCCCAATATGTAGCTAGGGGTTTCAAGATACTACCAATAATTTGCAAATTGGTTTTCAGAATTTGCAAATAAATTACCTACGAGGTATGAAAAATATAAGATGGGGGGCAACTTAACTTCAAGCTACACCCCCTTTTGAGCTACGAATTGAAATATGCTGCTAACATTTTGCGAATAGCCGCTAACTTATTTATAATTTCGAGTAAAAAAATCATACGAATCATTGGTGTTTATACGTAGTTATATAGTTTATAGTATAATTTAAAATTATATTATGTAATACACAATTGAAATATACTACTTACAGAAGTATTTTACAGAATATATCGGGCTACTATTTAATATAAGTTTAATATAGAATAATTGTTTCTTACCCTTATAATCTTAACACATGGTAATATTACAATAAACATAAATTAATAATTTATTTTTTTAAATTTATTTATTCTTTTTAATCTATATTTGTAGGAACATGGGTTATTGAATATTATAAGCTCATGGCCATCAAATAAGAGCTCACATTAATTAATAACAATTTTTATTTTGTTTTGCTAATAAATAGATTGTGTTTTTCAGATCATCAAATTGTATTAATTTTAAATTTAATTTATTAATTTTTAATTATTAAAGTTAGAAATCGTGGTTTATGGTTCTCATCATTTATTATAAAACATCAGGTCGATACATCAAAAATATTTTCCGCTACCAGTCTGTTTCAATCCATTGTGGACTTTTTCTCATTTTGGTGCCGGATCCTGGAGTCATGTCACTATAATATAGAAATAATGGTAAAAGGAAAATTGAAAAAAAATAAAATTTATTATTGATTCTTATTACTTTTATTTATCTTGTAACAAACGTTCAATATAAATTAAAAATAATAAAATATAACCTTTTTGTCTTTTTGTTTAATTTAAAAAAAAGACATCTCTTATTGCTATAGTTGACTTTTGTACCATTGTACATGTCTTTTTTTTAACTCTTTCACATGTAAAATTACATGTGGTTTTATTTTTGTTGAACAAGGGTGTACTTTTAATTTTTTTTGCCAAATCTTTGTGCACTTACTATCTATTTACACGGCGTATATACGCTATATAATGATCATGTTCATAAAAAACTGCTACGGATAATATATATCTAAAAATTATTTAAAACAATTAATTAAATAATATATTATTTTGAAATAATAATTATATACAATAACTGTTATTGTCAATTACCAGACTACACTGCA